GGCTTTTGGATCTGCTTTTATTGCAAGGCTCAAGCTCACGTGAGCCTTGAAAATGTTGCTTTTTTCAATCTGGATGCTTTGGAGAAGAAGTCCCTAGCTGGGGATCAAGCGGGATCCAGCGGCTCTCAAAGAGAGGGAGCATCTTGCACTTTTCAAAGGCATCTATCACTCCTCCCGTCTAAAACAGAAACCAGCAACAAAAAGACAACAGTTAACTCAGTTTCATAGCAAAGTGACCATGTTTGAGACACGAAAATACAAAGCAAGGCATGTTGGACCACAAGAAAGATTTCATGATAATAAACCATTGGTTAGGGATAGGTCTGTTTCAGTTTTTCATTTCCAGAAACTATGAATTACATAGATTCCCCTTTCGATGAGACTTGAATGCAGTCTCTGAGACATCCTTACCCCTGGGGGACTTTCTTTTCTAGGTACAATTAAATATGTCACAGAATAGTGAGTGAGCTTTCAAGGTCTCCAAAATTCTCCTGCAGACTGGATGTTATGCACGGCAGGGATTTGTTGTCTTTGTGGCCCTGAGGAAGAGTTCTGGGGAAACAGGAAGCTTGCTCACAATTTTGTGACAATGTTTTGAGAAACACGGGAGAACTGGCACCCTTGGGCTCATTCCGTCTAGTTGCTAATTTCTCTGTATGCACCCAAGACAAAAGTCTGCTGCCTCAGGTTCTTTCTTTAAAAGATAAAATAAGAATGAAGCTGCTTGGAATTGAAAGTGGGAGATTTGCATGGAATGTATGGGATGTGATACTGAGGTAATCTTAAATGGTGGAGGGCAGGACACCACACAGAGTAAGTGCCCAGCATCTGTTAAAGCTGCAGAATAGACATCCCTTAGGCACTGAGATAAACAATGGATGAAGCTGCACAACAAATTAAATGTGCCCATACGGTGTGGTTTAGGGATTTGTCAAAGGAGATCTGATAAGCTCACAGGGCAAAGGGGCCAAAGAGAGCTGGCCCAGCTATGAGGTAGGTAAGGACCCTGCTTCTGGTGGCAGAAGCCCCTCAGACAACAAACCCATTGGTGCTCCTCCTGCCCCGCTGGTTCTGCCTGTGGCGAAAGAACTCAGCACCATCTTGCTTAAAATGGGCAACAATGGTAGTGCCACTTCTGTGCCTGCAACCAACAGGGTATGGTGTGTGTCAGCGGCAGATCAGGCCATGGAAGGAGGAGCAGGTAGATGGGCTTAGGAGCCGTGCCGGCAGAATGGCAAAGCAGCAATTACCATTTTGCATCAAGCGGCAAAATGGGATGTGCCACCCTTGGCTGATTCTGGCATAGATATTTTTATTTTTATTTTTGCAATGGAGCAATTGAGCTTGCAGGCAAAGGATGATCAGTTTAGGGGACTCTGCATTGGGTACTTAAAATGATCAATCCAGGGGGTAATGGGAGAGGGGTAGGAGGTGTAATTTTCTTTTGGTAAGCTGAAATTACCTTTTGCAACAGGGATAACTAGGAAAACACTCTCCAATCTTTTTATGAGTATCGGGACAAAACATAGGGTAGCAATCACCACCTTTGGCGTTAAGGCATTGCCTAGCCTTTGTGGCCTGTGCAGATCCTGTGCAAAGAGATAAACAAACATAAGTGGGGAGAAGGAAGTTAATTCACAATAGGATGAAAGAGAGGAACAACTCCACAGCTCTTTGAACAGGAGTGGCTCTGTGACGCTCTGGGTGCTGTGGCATCCCAACTCCTACCCCCCACCCCACCCCTTGCCACTGGCCACTGGTGTTTACCACGCTTGCTACATTCACAAGAAGAAATGGTCAATCTGCTTATCCAGATATTTGCTCATGAGTGGAGGGTGTCAGTCTACGAAACACAACAGCAGGAAGTGAGGCACACATGGCTTATAAGTTATAGAGAAACTAAAGCCTGGAACTGAAGCCATCAGAGCCCCAAGGACTACCCAGAATAAAAGGCTCTATATTACATCAAGAAACATTTCCCACTAATTAGAAACTATATACCCCAAGTTTATTGGCAGACCTGTGGAAGAGACAAATCAAAATTTTATTTTGTAAAACATATTCCATGAATCTGCATAGAATTCCATAAAATCTAACCAAACTGAGAAAAGAAGAGGCTACTTTTGTTTTTCCTTACCAGTTTTACATGTAATGCCATTTTCCATATATTAAAAAAAAGGTAAAGGACTGTTTTGACAGTTAAGTCCAGTTGCAGACAACTCTGGGGTTGTGCGCTCATCCCGCTTTACAGGCTGAGGGAGCCGGCATTTGACCAGAGACAGCTTCCGGGTCACGTGGCCAGCATGACTAAGCTGCTTCTCGTGAACCAGAGCAGCACACAGAACCACCGTTTACATTCCCGCCAGAGCGATACCTATTTATCTACTTGCACTTTGATGTGCTTTCGAATTGCTAGGTTGGCAGGAGCTGCGACCGAGCAATGGGAGCTCACCCCGTCGTGGGGATTCAAACCGCCAACCTTCTGATCGCCAAGCCCAAGAGGCTCAGTGGTTTAAACCACAGGGCCACCCACGTCCTTTTTTCCTTATATTAGTGTGCCATAATGAAGTCAACATGTGAACATCAAAGCACAGTTGTCCTGTGAAAGTCAGCTCTCCTTCCAAGTAATGTGTTTAAAAAATGTACCTGAAAAAGTGTAATTTCATGACAATAGCATGAAAATATAGGTTATAATAGGGGAAATTGCATAGCAATGATGGGCATAATGGGGGAAATTCAGCAACACAGTGCATATTTTCCCTAGTAGACACACTTTGGTAGGCAATTTTGTCAGATATATACATTTTTATGCAAAGAATTCCCACTAAAGAGATTACCACTAAAGAAACGTCTCTAGAAAGAAAAGTGAGCTTCCTTTGCAAGGCCACAGAACAGCAACTGTACTCCTCTCCCTCTTCCACCCCAAAATAGGCTGGCAGGTGTCCCTCTGTCTTCTTCCTCTCCATCCCTTACCTGGGGAAGCCAGGAGCAGCAAACAGAGAACTGCCAAGCACAGGTGAAGGATCTTCATGGCTCAGGATGAATTGTGGTGGCAAAGCCAGGCAAAGCCAGCTTTTAAGCAAAATGGAGCCCCAAACCTTGCCAAGAGAGGGCTGGGCGGGAGAAGTAGATTGCATAATTTTAATTTCTTTGGGACGTTGTGACTTAGGCTGACGTGGACGAGAACGTTGCCAAAATCACGTGCCTCTGGAAAGGCATTCCTGCATTCGATCAGTCATAGCAGTTTCCACAGAAGTAAAATCACAAACATTCAGATGTGCTGTATTCATGTTTCAGAGCGAGATAGCTTGAATCAAATGAAACATTTATGAGGAGGATGCAATGCCCCATATAGGCAGTGCTAGGGGGATGTATCCCTCAGGTAAATGATTCACCCCTCACCTGTCCCCATCACATTGCTGGACCCTTGCGGTTACATGAAGGAAGGGCAGTTTTCATATGCTCGCCTCCTACAATGATTATTCTTAGTAGTAGCTTATGCTTTCCCCCCCTAAAAAATGTTTAGGGTTACTCTCATTTTCCTACTCATGTTGAAATACTGCTCCTCAATCTGGCCAAACTTAGATCCACAAAATGTTTAGGGGTATGTGTACCGCTGCATCCCCGCCGGAAATAGCACTCGTAGTAGTAATAGCTTCAAACAGTTCTTCCAAAAAAAAGAGATTCAAGTCCACTGATTGAAGAGGTTGAGTGGAACATGCAGGGCAAGGAGATTTCAAAGGTGAAATGATGGACTCTTTGCTTACTTGAAGGAAAGGCGATCTTCACATGCACCCTTGTCCTTCTTTTCATTCTTGCAATCATCATCATCCTATTTCTTAAACACCTTTTTTCTAACTAGACTCAAAGCAACTTACAAAAATATTTTCAAACAGGAGGGGCTCTGCTTCTCTGCTTGCTCCACCTGCCATGTCCACTCTGCACCCCATCATAACTGGCCAACCTGTCCTTTCCTTTCTCTTTTCCACCCTAGAATATGACTAAGCCCCCTTTCCCCCTTCCCAACCCTGTTTCTGAAGCCGCTTCACTCTTCTGTCCTGCGCTCCATGGAGTCGCTGTTATTTGTGGCTAAAGATCAGGGGTGATGGGATCTCCAGATCAGAAACATCCAAAGGCCAATGAGTTAATCTTCTCTGCTTTGAGTTTTCATTTGATATTTCATTCTCAGGCCTGGTGCTATCATGCGCAAGGTGCTTGGAACTGAATGTGGAACACTTTGCAAGGAATATATGATACCTAATCCTCAGCTAACGGATGTGGGTGGCGCTGTGGTCTAAACCATTGAGCCTTGGGCTTGCCAATCAAAATGTTGGCAATTCAAGGTCTAAGATTTGCTGCATGTACAACTATAAAAGAAAATGTGATGAAAATGATGTATCGATGGTATGTAACACTGGTGAAACTAGCAAAAATGTATAAGACAAGTAATAAATGTTGGAAATGTAAAGAAAAAGAAGGTACATTTTATCACATGTGGTGGGAATGTAAGAAGGTAAAAAGCTTTTGGGAAATGGTATATAATGAATTGAAGAAAATGTTGAAATATACATTTGTTAAGAAACCAGAAGCATTTTTATTAGGCATTACAGGCAATGAGATAAACAAGAAAGAAAATAAGTTATTTTTATATGCAGTGACAGCAGCAAGAATACTGATGGCCCAGAAATGGAAACAGGAGGAGCTACCTACGATAGAAGAATGGAGAACAAAAATGATGGACTATGCAGAATTGGATAGAATGACAGGAAGGATCCGAAATCGACGAGATCAAAGATTTACAGAAGATTGGGGGAAATTTATTGAATATTTGCAAAAACTAAGTGATAATCATATCACGTTTGTAAGTTTTAATGAAGCTCTGTGATGGGAAAATGTCAAAATAAGTATTTAAAAAATGGATGGAATTTACAGTAATAATATAAACAATAAGGTAGAAATGTGCGAAAAGTAAAAATATGAAGGATTTGCAGACAAATTGAGGGAAGTCAAAAAAGAGAAATAAGATGCAATTAAGATGTATGGAGTGTATAATTTTGTTTTGTATTTGAAAACATATATATATATATATATATATATATATGTGTGTGTGTGTGTGTGTGTGTGTGTGTGTGTGTGTGTGTATATGTTGGCAATTCAAATCCCCATTACAGGGTGAGCACCCCTTGTTCAGTCCCAGCTCCTGGCAACCTAGCAGTTCGAAAGCACGTCAAAGTGCAAGTAGATAAATAGGTACCGCTCCGGCTTAAAGGTAAATGGCGTTTCTGTGTGCTGCTCTGATGTCGCCAGAAGCGGCTAAGTCATGCTGGCCACATGAACCAGAAAAACTGTCTGCGCACCAACATCGGCTCCCTCGGCCAGTAATGCGAGATGACCGCCACAACCCCAGAGTCGTCCGCGACTGGACTTAAACAGTTCTTCCAGCTTCAAACAGTTCAAACAGCTTCAAACAGTTCTTCCAGAAAAAAAGATTCAAGTCCATTGATTGAAGAGGTTGAGTGGGACATGCAGGGCAAGGAGATTTCAAAGGTGAAATGATGGACTCTTTGCTTACTTGAAGGAAGGGCAATCTTCACATGGTCTCTTGTCCTTTTTCTCATTCTTGCAATCATCATCATCATCCTTTTTCCTTTTTTAACTGGACTTAACTGTCAGGGGTCCTTTACATTTACCTTTTAATCCTCAGCTATTCAAACAAGATGGAGGGGAGAAGATCACAGTGAGCAAATGCCCAGCAGCCATTGAAGATTTAGGATGGACAGTTATGGTGATCCCTTTCCAGTGAGATAAACAATAGATGAAACTGAATATTAATCTAAACATGCAAATACCGTGTGATTTAAGGATTAGACCATGTGGATCTGGCAAAACCTCACAGAGCAAAGCAACCAAAGACAGGGCTGATCCCAGAGCCGGACAAGCCTTGAGGCAGGTGAGGACGCTGCTCCAGGTGGCAGAAGCCCCCAACCAGGCACAATGCCCATGGGTGCCCCTCCTGCCCTGCTGCTTCTGCCAGTGGAGGAGAAGCACCAGTATCATCAGCACTGATTTTGGAAAAGTTCACAGCCATTTGGGGAATAACGGGATGTGCCGCCTAGGCTGATTCTGCCATAGGTGTCTTTTGCAATGGACAAAGTATGAAAACAACTGGCTGCGCAACCAATTAAGCTTGCAATCACAGGACGATGTATTCAGGGACCACTTAAGTAATTGATGCTTTGTGTAACTAATGGAACAGGTAGCTGGTACTCACTGCTGTATGAAAATGACATTCTGTGTAATAAAAAGGTTGCATTAGAGATACGTTGTACTGCCAGTGGTTGTTTAATTAATGAAAAACCTAATTAAGACAACTGTAAATCTTGCAGGCTGTATAATCAACCTACATAATGACTATAATGAGTTTTGTTTTGGTTAATTCTGTTTCTGAAGGAATAGAATGGCTCTAAGACATGGATGGGAAGAGGGAGGGAGGAGAGATGAGTTTGTATCGATGCAGTTTTTACATAATGGATGAAATAATAAAGTTTTAATGGAAAACTCAAATGGATATAGCAGACAAATGCTGTATTAAATGAGGTTAAGCTGGAATCAAATAAATGGTCATCAACTTGTAAAGAAACCTATTGTTCATGTTAGCAGGCATCATAAAAGTTTTCCAAGTTTTATGTAATGAAACTATTTTCTCAGTTCACTGGCTCCCTTTGCCTAAATCCGAGAAGGGATGTCCATTTATGGTGGTAGCCTAAAGCTACTCAGATCAGAGGCTCCTCAAAATGATCAATCCAAAAAATGCTACAAGAGGGGCAGGGCGTGGGGAGGAGAAATGATACTTTCCTCTGGACACTTGTTTGATTCTCCTTTGCTAAGCTGAAGTTCCCTTCTGCAACAATTATACAGTGGTGGACAGCTCCCAATGTCAGTGAAGACAGCAGGACAAACGAACGGGAGGCAGATACAATCAGTTTGTGACAGGCCAAATCCTGTGTAGAGGGAGAACAAATACCATGGTCCACAAGTGAAAGGAAAGTTCATTCAGAAGAGCATGAAATGGAGGCACAACTTCATTGTCCCCCCTAAAATAAATCTTGGCTGCACCCATGCTTCCCATCATTTTAATTTATTTGGGACGTTTTGACTTAGGCTGACATGGAAGAGAATTTTGCCAAAATCACATGCTTGTGGGAAGATATTGCTGAAATCTGGTAGTCATAGCAGTTTCCACAGAAGTAAGATCCCAACCACAGATCGCAAACATTCAGATCTGCTGCATTCATGTTTCACAAGGAGATAGCTTGGATCAAACAAAAGGTTTATGAGGAGAATAGGCAGTGCCAGGGGGATGTATCACTCAGATAAATAACTCACCCCTCACCTGTTCCCATCACATTGCTGGACCCTTGTGGTTACCTGAAGGAAGGGCACCTTTCACAATAACAATTGGCCAACCTGTCCATTCCCTTCTCCTTTCTATCGCAGAGGATGACTAAGCCATTTTTATTATTGTTTGTTTGTTTGTTTGTTTATTATACCACTTTATAACTGGGGGTCTCAGGGCAGTTCACAGAATAAAATTAAGATATAATACCACAAAATACCTAATAAAAATAAAAAGCAGCTCAATACCCCCCCCAAAAAAAACACATAGTCAAATAAAATGCAAATAATTAACAGGAGAATACAATATTATTTCAAGCTGGCTGACACATTGTCATTAGAAAAAGCCATTTCCGACCTAGGAGGAGAGGGGGTTGCGGGCGACCCCCTCCCACACACGCGGGGGCTGGCCTTAGCCCCCGCGAGATTAGGGAATCCCCGGGCGTGCCTGCAACCCGGCCCACCAATCGGCGGGCTGGGGAGGCGTGGCCTAGCCTACTTAAGGCCAGGCACGTCCGGGGACCGCCCTCTTTCCCCTCGCCAGCTGGAGTAGGTTTTTTCTGCCTCGCCGGAGTCCCAGCCTTCTGCTTGCCTGCAGCGTTCAGGACGCCCGCCCGAGCCAACAAAGACAGCCGAAGCAGCGACGCAAGAAGAGAGCTGAAATCACTATTCTTACCATCGCTGTTTTGCTGCTTTGGATCCCCGCTTACGGTCGCGCGTTTGGTCACGGGGGCTGCGCGGCTTCGCGCTTGGAGCTCAGTGCTCGGTTGCCGTCGGACCTCATTTCACAGGATTTCAGCCAGCTTCTGCTGCGGCGTTCTCGCTTTCCAATTGAGGTTGCCGGGACGGTAGGACACGGCGCGGAGGGACGTGAAGAGTGAGGTTTGCTTGTGGGGTCTCCCTTTGTTTGCTCTTTGGTCGGCTGATTTGCTAGTACTGGTGCGGCTTTTATTATCTCTGTTGGTTTTGCGGCTGCCGTTCCTTATCTTAAGTGTAGCGGCGGCTTCCTTGCTCGGAAGCGTCCTTGTTTCCAGGGTAACGGCCATTTCCCATCGCTTCTAGCTGACCACGTGGTCACGGATCGCTCGCGCCCGCCATCTTAAGCGAGGCATAAAGCCTCTACAGCCAAATAGGCCTATAGGCAGGGGAGCAGGAGCGGTTATCGGACGCCATCTTGGTAGGGTCCACGTGCGTTGGCGCAGGCAGCCATCTTGGGGAGGGAGCAGAAACACTTTCACAGTATCGGCGCGCCTTTCACTAAAGGCGCAGCAGTAATTGGTGCAGCTTCCCTGGCAGTTTTATTATAGCCTGCTTAAGAGGGGTAGTGAGGTTGCCCACTCTAGATTTTCTCACCGCTGCCTTTATCGAAGGTCTGCTTCGCGTTTAGAGTGTTGTGACTTTAAGGGCTTACTTTGCTCTGGTCCTCCTGGGTTTTCGGTTGCTTTTGGGGGAGCCAGCAACTAAAACTTACTGCGTCCACGGTGACAGGGGGAGCTTTTCCGGCGGCCTGAATCTAAAAACACCGGAAGGGGGCTGTTTGCAGCATCAGTGGCTCTGCGATAGCATTTCTTTTGCCTTAATTGTTTTGGTCGCATTTATCTGGATAATACATCCGTGCTAAAATAAGGGTAGTTTACTAATAATCAGAGTTAACTATATTGCAATAATCTTAATTGTTTTAATAACAAGCTAACAGAATATATATTATATATATATATATATATATATATATATACCATATATATAACTACATAGATACAAATACATAGTGTTAAGTACAGTAAAAGGGGGAAATAATTAACTTAATTGGCCAGCAATATTCTACAGCCCCCTTCCTGTTTGGCAATTGGAGCCTCACGCAATTGGCTACGTCAGACATACATACTAGTGCACTGCAGTTATTTGTTATTCTTGGCGCATAAGCCATTAGATAATTAGGAGAAGACATAACAAATTAATAAATAAATAAGTAAATAAACAATTAAGGAGATTGAATAAGGAGAATTTCATCTTCCGTGTTCCTGAAGTGTAGACGATACTGAACTAGTCAGTGTTGAGCCGTTAAGGATAGACAATACTGAGCTAGACGGAACCCCTTGGCGGTACATTGCTTCGGAGTGGGTCCATTTGTTTGGGAAATACTTTGTGATTGCTCTGGTCTCGCATATAGTTTGTCATGGCTTCCGGTGGGGACCAACAGCCATCCACATCCGGTAATCAAATGGCACCTGGCGCAAGTAATGGTAGCGCGCAAATGGGGGCCATGCCTTGTGACCCACAAGCTTTTGCTCAATTCTTCCGGGCGTTCGAAACCTTTTATAGACAATGTAGGCCTGGGGCGCTGGCGCATCCTGCCCCGGAACCTTCGCAGGAGGTAATACCCGACACCCCCCCTAACAATCAAGGGCGGAAGGGAATTCCAGCCGCCGTGGGAGGCGGCGCCCAGTCAGAAAACTCGAATTCAGGGCGTCCTAATACCCATGCTCAGGCAGCCATTACTAGGAGGGCCAACCAAGGCGCCGGAGTTGGTAAGGCATCAGCAAAAGGGTCTGGCAAGGGGAAGGCCACTGCCAAAGGGACAAGTAGCAATGCCTTTTCACGAGTGGTAGACATTCCTAGTGTGTTTCAGGAACAGCAGCCCCATCATAGCTCTACCGACGACAGTGCAGGTTCCGGCTTGGAAGAGGAGCACAGGGAGCCTCAAGCTGCTCAGCCAGTAACCAGCGCGATCGCGGCCAACAGAGAGGTGCAGGGTGGAAAGAGGAAATCAAAGAAGAAGCACACGTCTGCTAAGAAGAAAAGAAGCAGGCAGTCCGAGACGGAGGACGATTCAGGTACGTCATCTTCTGATTCGGATAGTGAGGGCCCCATGGATGGCTACTGGGGTTTAGGTGAAGGGAATCACGGGATCCCTCTTTGGGCGCATGAAAGGAGAGCCAATTCTCATCGTAGGACTTTCAATGGGGTGCTGGACTGGAAAGATGGGGCGTTGGTCGATGACGTAAAGGTCGCCACCAACCAGTCCACTGATTTCATATTGGGCAACCATTTGTCCCAGAAGAAGAGGAATAAGATCCTCAACGGGGACTATGTTGACATGTTTACCCTGCTCCCGCCTACTAAACTTATAGGAAAGGGCGAAAGGAGACGATCCTCCGGTAAGGGGAGGTACAGGACCCCTAGGGCGGAGCGCACCTTTGAGAATTGGCTAGATGGGTACCAGGTTTTCATGGGTGTTGTTTGTGCTGCTTATCCTCGGCGCTCCATGGATTTGGTTGCTTATCTGGCTCATGTTAGACGGGCTCACTCGCTCGCAGGGGAACAGGCCGCTCTAACATATGATGAGAACTTCCGTAGAAACGCTTCTCTCCTCCCTTCCACCCGATGGGACCTAACGGACCCTAACTATTGGGGCGAGGACGTTAATCCCTACATTGAAAAGAAAAACCAGGGACCAACCAAGGCGGGTAAGACAGAGGTCAAGCGGCGTCGCCTCTGCTGGGAGTTCAACAAGGGTGCATGCTCGAGACCCTCCTGTAAGTACCTACATGAATGTGACCGGTGCTGGGGAAACCACCCCGCCTCTGCATGCTTCAAGAATAAGCAGCAGCCCTTTCGGGGAGGCAGGGGGTACTTCCACAACAGCAGTAGAGGTGCCCCCGGATCTTCAAACCAGGGACCCGGTAACCGCCAGTAATCCGCATCTGGGCCTGGCCTTCTCCCCTGTCCGGTTGCAGCCTCTCAAAACCCTGTTAGATCAATATCCTGATCGAAAAGCCGCGCAATACCTGTGGGAAGGGTTTTCTAAGGGGTTCAGAATTCCAGTGGCTTTCCCACCTAACACCGGTGATCCACAAAATCAGAAATCAGTCAGGGAGAGGCCAGAGATAGTCAGAAAAAAGATTGAGAAAGAAATTAGGGCAAGGAGGGTGGCCGGCCCCTTCGCAGAGCCCCCCTTGGAAGGACTACACCTATCCCCGTTGGGCATAGTGCCAAAAAGACCCGGGAGAGTTCCGAATGATCCACAACCTCTCCTACCCAAGGGGAGGTTCAGTCAATGACGCCATTCCCCAGGAACTTTGTACAGTGAAATACGCCTCCTTCGACCAAGCAGTAAAAATGATCCGCAGATTTGGAATAGGAGCGCTTCTTGCCAAATGTGACATTGAGTCGGCGTTTCGTCTCCTTCCCGTCCATCCGGCCGACTTCCGTTGGTTGGGCTTCAGGTTTGAAGGAGCATATTTCATTGACAAGGCAATGCCTATGGGCTGCTCCGTGGCTTGCTCAGCCTTCGAATCGTTCAGTACATTTCTAGATTGGGCTCTATGCTTCAGGACCGGGTCTTTAGGTGTGTCCCATTACCTCGATGATTTTATTTTAGTGGCAGATAGCAGGCAGCGATGTTCCGCCCTCTTGGAGTCCTTCACTGCCCTAGCCGAGGAGCTAGGGGTACCTCTAGCCGCCGAAAAAACTGAAGGCCCAGCCACCTCTATGGTCTATCTGGGAATTGAGTTGGACACCGTGGCCCAGACGTCCAGGTTGCCCGAGAGCAAGCTGCTTGCTCTTAAAGCCTTGATACAACAGTTACTGCCCCTACGGAAGGTTACCTTAAGGCAAATTCAAACCCTGCTAGGACACCTAAATTTTGCCTGCAGGGTAGTGTCGCCAGGGCGCCCTTTTGCGGCCGTCTGGCCAGGCTGTCTGCGGGTCTTAGGGCCCCACAGCACAGAGTACGCCTCTCCAAGGAAGTCAAGGCGGATTTGGAAATGTGGTTACAATTCCTCGACAAGTACAATGGTATATCCTTGTGGCAGGATTCCTTGGTACTTGACGCTGATTTCCAAGTTCAGTCGGACGCAGCAGGTTCTTTGGGTTTTGGAGTTTATTTCAGGGGCCAGTGGTGTGCCCAGAAGTGGCCTGCAGAGTGGCAGGGCCAGCCCATTACTCGGGACCTTACTTTCCTGGAGTTTTTCCCTATTGTGGTAGCGGTGCATCTCTGGGCAGAGCAGTTCCGCAATCACAGGGTTTGTTTTAACACTGATAACCAGGCTGTTGTAGCTGTTCTTTCTAGACAATCCGCGCGTTCTACCAGGGTGGGAAACTTGCTACGGTCCTTTGTCCTCCTTTGCTTGGAGCAGAATATATACTTTCCCGCCAAATTCGTACCTGGCGTCAATAATGACATAGCGGATGCTCTATCTCGTTTTCAGATGGAGCGCTTCCGCTCATTAGCGCCGGATGCAGAGCAATCATCGATGTCGTTCCCGGAGCATCTCTGGAGCCTTGGGAACAGGAAGTGATGAAGGGAGTATTCGGTGCAGTCGCCCCTTCCACAATCAGATCATATAGGAAGGCTTGGGCTGACTTCTTGAAGTTCCGCGGCGGTATTCCGTACGCTAGGCAGACTGCGGTGCCCTCTACGAGGAAGGTCCTTCGTTATTTAACCCATTTGAAGGAGCTGGGCAGGGCACCGAAGACTCTCAATATTCAGTCAGCTGGGATTTCCTATTTTTGTAAAGCATTTTTCGCCACTGACCCGTGTGCGCAATTTATCGTGCGTAAGACTTTGGAGGGTTGGCGCCGGCAGCAGCCTCCCAGCTCTGACAAGAGAAAACCCATAACGTATGACATTCTGTGCCAGATACACAAAAAATTACGAGAAATATGTTGGTCAAAGTATGAAGCTCGCCTATTCTCGGCCGCTTATTCCATAGCCTTCTTTGGTGCCTTGCGCATAGGTGAGGTCGTCTGCGAGGGGGGGATGGCCCACTGCCAGAGGGGCATCCTTTTAAGTGATCTGACCCTATCAGAGACTGACCTAATAATTCAAGTACGGAGCTCTAAGACGGACCAACAGGGTAGGGGGGCTCTCCTGCGTTTACCAGCAGCACAAGCTAGTGGTCCATGCCCGGTTAGGGATACGAGGCGTTTCCTCTACTTAAGACCCAAGGGTCCCGGCCCCTTGTTTATTCACGCGGATGGATCGCTCTTGGCTAGGCATCAGTTTACGAGGGTGATGCGCATGGCATTGGCCGCCTGCGGACTGCCCGCGACTGAATTTGCAGCTCACTCTTTCCGGATCGGGGCAGCGACAACTGCAGTGCACCTTGGGCTCTCCGCAGAGAGGATAAAGGACTTGGGGCGCTGGAAATCTAACGCATACAAAGCTTATTTAAGAAAGAACCTATGACTAGCGATTGTTCCCCTGACCTTGCTTTTCCTGTTTATTTGCCTTTCAGAATGCAAGCGGGTGCGCATTTGGTTGGTGGGCCACAGCATCGTGCACTGGGCCAAAAATCGTGCTACGGCAAACGGGTTGGGTCTGAATTTGAGCTTGCCTGCAAATGTCGAACTGCTGTGGATAGCGCGAAGGGGCATGCGCTGGAGTGAATTCAAGCCAACGGTGATGGCGAGAGCCGCCTCCGAGGGTCCACCCGATGCGCTGGTTATCCAGTTGGGTGAAAACGACCTAGCGTACCGGAAAGCTATTGACCTCAGATGGAACATCTTTGACGATTTCGCCAATCTGAGGGCGGTCTACCCAAACATTACTATCCTGTGGTCCTCGTTGCTTGAGAGGAGGACGTGGAGGGATTGTGTGAGCCCGGTTGGAATCAATAAAGCAAGAAAGGTCTTGGAGCGGGCTGTGGAGCGTAGAGTGGCGGCTCTGGGCGGGTGCGTCATAAGACACCCAGGCATCCAGTACAGCAACGAGGCCCTCTACAGATGGGATGGCGTGCATCTGTCAGATGCTGGAAACGATATTTGGCTGGGGGACATCATAGCAGGGATTAGGAATTGGCTACAGGTTTGAAGGTATTGGCGGCGAGCTTTGCTCGAGTGGCGGTTAGGCATTGGCAGGGGTTTATTGTTATGCAAATGAGTGGGGGGGAAGGAAGCGCCATCACCTTCCCCCAAGAGAAGGGTAGTCCGGTAAAGGACTCCGGTGGGGTGTGGCCTTGTCCGAAACCTAGGGAGGTGAGGGCCCCTGGCACGCCCCCGAGCGGTGACACCCGTGGGATCCTAGTTGGCGTACTTCAACAGGACTCCCACGGTTTGTGGTTAACCCTCCCCGGTCAGCGTGCCGGGTAGTCGATAGGAGCCAATGCCTAAGGCCAATACCTTTCAATTCTGTAATCAATAAAGTTGTGGCCTATTTACGCCCATTAACCTTAAACAATGTGTCCAGTGTCTTCATTTCACATGGGGGAGGGGTCTAGCCACGCAACAGCCCAGACCCTCCATCTCCCAGAACCCGGAGGGACTTAAAAGTAGGAGAGCAAAGACTTCGAAGACAGAGGACACTTAGCAATACCCGTAGAGGAGATGATGTTGATGATGACAAACGAGGAAGTGGGAGAGACAAGAGGTAGAGATTCACTGGGGACAACATAATTATCCAAGAGTCTGGGTTCTATACCCTCCCTCTGTAAAGTCTGAAATAAAAAAGGATTCCTTGTCTCTATGGATTCCTGGGGAACCAGCAAGGAGCTGCTGACAGTGTCCTGACAGATTGTCCCGAGTCAACATTAGTTGCCGGTTAAGTTATAAATCATGACAGACTGTGCAGGATCTGCCGGGGGGAGCCTCCCAACACTGATAACTGGCAAGAACAATTATCAAAATGCCGAAATCTCAAGGGCAGAGGCAGAAACACAGAAATGGTCAGGAAACACACACACACACACACACACACACACACACACACGATTCCCCCATCAAAGTTCAATGGAGAGTCTCCCCTGCATGAATGCTTAAGGACCCCGTTCCTGCCATTCACCACCTGGCCCAGGACGGGGCCTGACAGGCCTCATAAGGACGGCTACCGCTGCTGCTGTTCCTGCCCAGGAGGACTCAGAACAGCGCAGAGTTCTTTAATAAACAAACAAACAAACAAACAAACAAACAAATAAATAAATAAAAATTACCTTTTATTTTATTGGGGGGGGGTGGATGTATAGTCAGGTTTGGGAATTTGTTTAATTTTGGCATGTTTGTAATTTTTACTGTTTTTGGTTTGTATTGCTTTATTGTTTTAGTCTCTCTCTCTCTCTCTCTCTCTCTCTCTGTGTGTGTCTGTTTTAAGGGTTTTATTTTGTTCTTAAGCGAAGGGGTCAGGGCTGCCTGGGAGTGGGTCCCAGCCAACAAAATGGCTATAAGTTGGGTCAGCCTTATTCAGGGACAGCCCCATGGAGGCCATGCTTTCCACGAAGTCCTGAGTGGCCCCTTGTAAGGTTGTGTTGGCATGGATGTTAAAATCCCCTAGAACAACCAAACTAGGTGTTTCCAGGAGAACATCTGCCATGACCTGAAGCAGCTTGGGCAGGGAATCCTTGGTGCAGTGGGGAGGTCAGTACAGCAAAAGGAATCCTGTAGTGCCCCTATTGCCCAACTTCCAGAACATGAACTCAGAAAACTAGGTCTCCCCAATACAACGCCTGGTGCAAACTAATGACTTCCTAAAAATCACTGCAACCCCCCCTCCCTGCCCACAAGGCCTGGGTTGCTGTTTATAAGAATGTTTTCTACTGACAACCTGTCAGCCAGCTTGAAATAATATTGTATTTGTTATGTACTGAAGTTCTCACCCTGGGCCAGCAGGGGGATACTGTAGATAGTTATGCAAATGAAGGATCGAAAGTGACGTTCAGTGATTGGATAGTTTTAGAAAGTTGCTATAGTTACATTGTTCTGGAGCTCTATATAAGCAGGCTGACTGAGCTCTTCAGCTCAGTTCTGTTCTGGCCTCTGAATAATCAAGAGCGGTTTGAAGATTCGCTGTGTCGTCTGATATGTTTGCCCACAACTTAACACTGGCGACGAGGATGGGATCGATGGACATCAGAGCACAGCCAGATGCGGCCACCCTCTGAACTGAGCTGAATCACTGAGCGAAATCACTGAGCGAAATCACTGAAGAGAACCAATTCAGAGCTGACTTTTCTGGCTAGAGCACTGTGTTCCATCCATCGCCCTTCATGTCGGCATTGGAATCATGGCTTCACTTGTGCCTCTACCGCCATTTGCGCCAACCTCTGAATCATGGGACTCCTACCTTGCTCGGTTCGACTGCTACCTCCAAGCCAACAAGCTGACAGAAGTATCAAAGGAATGGAAGCAGGGCCTATTCCTCAGCCTCTGTGGGCCTGAGGTGTTTGAGACGGCCAGAGCATTGTTTGCGCCTGAAGCAGTACAGGCAACAACATGGGACACGATTCAAGAGAAGCTCCGCAACCACTATGCGCCAAAGCTGTCCAAGATTGCTGCCCGCCATGCATTCTACCACCGGAACCAGTCAGAGGGGGAGTCAATTAACAACTACACTGCCGCCCTCCGACAAGCTGCAATGCACTGCGAGTTCTGAGACTTAGACGATGCCCTGATGGATCGAATCATCTGTGGGGTCTGGGACATCCGTCTGCGTCTCCTTGCCAAGCCAGACCTCACGCTACAGGAAGCCATTGAGGAGGCCGTGGCCTCGGAAGCTGCTGAACGCTCCGCCCAGGAGATCCGCAAGGCCAGCAGCCCGCGTCTTGGTAAGAAGCCAGTTCCAGTGCATCATGAAGAGGCCAGCAGTGATGAGGCATCCTCCAGTGAAGACGATGATGTGCACCAGACAAAGCGGGAGTGCAGGGCGTTCCAAAAGAAGTCCAAGTGCCAATTGGAATGTGCCGACTGTGGAGGCAACCATTCCCGTGCCAAGCGTCGATTCAGAGATGCCATCTGTCGGAAGTGTTCCAGAAGGGGCCACATCGCTAAGGTCTGCCGATCGGCTCCATCTGACACCCCCCCTTCACCGATTCGCAAGTCCAAGTCTTCACTCCAGTCCGCCAAGGAAAGCTGTTTCGCTCTCATCAACTGCCGCTGCCCGTCTGGAACCACGATTGGCCAAACCGACTCGCCTACGCGATGCAAGCTGAACGTCATGGTGCTCATTGAAGGAGCTCCATGTCACATGGAGATCAACATCGGGTCTGCCCTGTCCATCATGTCTTGGAGCACCATCGAAAGACTGATACCCAGAGTGTCCAAAAGGCAACTCGACTCTCACTGTGTACACCTGAGAGACTACCAGGGAAAAGATATTCCTGTGGTAGGCGTTGGCCGGTTCCGGATCGCCTTCAAGGATTTTTCAGGCCTGCTCCGACTGGTGGTGGTCGAAGGTCAGTGGCCAAGCCTCCTAGGGTTTGATGCCCTCGGCCTGGAAGTCACCGGCATCAACTGCATGTCTAACGCAGAGACTGAGGGTCTGGTCAAAGACTTTGCCAAGGTTTTTGATGGCACTTTGGGGCAATATACAGGTATGCCCATCTCCTTTAGCCTTGATCCACAAGTCGCCCCCATGAAGCTAAAGCCACGCCGGGTTCCCTTTGCTCTCAAGGCTAAGGTGGACGAACAACTGGACAAGCTGATCGCCCAAGGAGTTTTGGAGCCGGTTGACCACACCAAGTGGGAAACCCCCATCATCACGCCTGTCAAGCCAGACGGGTCAGTGAGAATCTGCGCTGACTACAAGTGCACGATCAACAAGGCACTTCAGCAGCATGCTTATCCGGTTCTTGTTGTCCAACACCTGCTGCATTCCCTGGGTGAGTGTAAGGTCTTCGCTAAGCTGGACCTTGCCCAAGCCTGTCAACAACTGCCCGTCGATGATGCCACTGCTGAAGCCCAGACGATCGTCACCCACCGAGGGGCATTCCGTTGCCGCCGGTTGCAGTTCAGAGTGAGTGTGGCTCCTGGCATCTTCCAAAGCCTTATGGAGCGTCTCCTGCAAGGGCTTCCGGGCGTGGTACCATATTTTGATGACGTCTTGCTGTCTGCAGACTCACACCAGCAGCTGTTCGAGCGCCTCCGTGCCTTGCTGACCTGGTTCCAGGAGGCTGGGCTCAAGGTAAAGAGGGAGAAGTGCCAGATCGCCGTTCCACAGGTGGAGTTCCTGGACTATCTTATCAACGCCTCCGGCCTTCACCTGACCACATCCAAGATCCGCGCTATCCAGCAGGCCCTCATCCCAAAGAACAAGACGGACTTGCAGGCGTTCCTGGGACTGCTGAACTTTTATAATGTTCCTGCCCCACAAAGCCACGGTGGCTGAGCCTCTTCACCGACTCCTCAGCACAAAGGCACCTTGGTCCTGGGGTCATCGGGAGATGGCGGCCTTCAAGGCGGTCAGAGCCCTCCTTTCATCGGACAGTGTGCTGATACAGTACACTGAAGCCAGGCCACTGGTCCTTGCCTGCGCCGCCTCACCTTTTGGCATCGGCACTGTCCTTAGTCACTGTTTTCCAGACAGAAGAGAAGCACCGCTCGCCTACTTTTCCACGACACTATTTCTGACTGAACGGAATTACAGCCAGCTCAACAAGGAGGCACTGGCACTTGTGGCTGGAGTGAAGAGGTTCAATGAATACCTCTACGGCAGGACTTTTGACCTCATCACTGACCACAAGCCACTGCTGGGCCTCCTCGCCGATGATCGTCCAACTCCACCCGTCCTCTCGCCACGCATGCTGCGATGGACTGTTTTCCTGGCTGCCTACCACTACCTGCTCGCCCATCGCCTGGGGAAATCGATGGGCCATGCTGACGCCCTCAACCGTTGCCCTCTTCCAGCGTTTGTGGAAGACCCGGCTCCTGCTTCATCGCTCCTCCTGATTGAGGATCTTCCAGCAGCGCCTGTATCGGCTGCCTCTGTGGCCTCCGCATCTGCCCAGGATCGCACCATCAGCTGTGTGCTTAACTGGGTATGGAGGGGGTGGCCACAAGGGCCTTTTGCATCAGAGTTCCTGCCGTTCGCAACCAGACAACATGAACTCTCAGCTCATCGCGGCTGTTTGCTGTGGGGAGACCATGTCGTGTATTCCCCAAAGACTCCGTCAACGTGTCCTGGAGGCTCTGCACGTTGGCCACCCGGGAATCGTCAAAATGAAGGCGTTGGCTCGGTGTTACGTCTGGTGGCCTAACATGGATGATGCCATCACTGCCTAGGTTTCCGCCTGTCAATCGTGCCAAGAATCAAGGCCTGCACCACCGGCAGCTAAGGGACACACCTGGGAGATGCCCAAGACACCCTGGTCGAGGGTGCACATTGATCTGGCCAGTCCCTTTCACGGCTGGACCTTTATGGTAGTGGTGGATGCCTATTCCAAATGGCTGGAGGTGGCCCTGATGCCCTCCACCACTACCGAGGCCATCATCCGGGTGCTGCGAGGCCTCTTTGCGACGCATGGGTGTCCTGATGTCCTTGTCTCCGAAAGCGGACCGCAATTCACGTCAGGCACTTTTGAGCGGTATCTTTTGGGACTGGGCATCCGCCATGCCCTAACGGCACCATTTCATCCATCCAGCAACGGGCAAGCAGAGAGAATGGTGCGCTCAGCAAAAGAGGCACTGGTGTGCCTGGACCGGGGAGGCTGGCACGAGCGGGTCGCCAAATGCTTGTTCGTACTACACATCACCCCTCATGCGGCCACAGGGTGGAGTCCTGCCGAAATGCTTATGGGCCACTGCCTCAGGTCCCCGCTCACCCGGCTGCACCCGGACTTTGCCGTGGCCAAACCCCCAGGCTGTGCCAACGCGCCATGGTCATTTGTTCCAGGAAACCAGGTCTTTGCCTGGAACTTTGTGGGGAACATTCCTTGGGTGCCAGCCACAGTAGTGGGAGTCACTGGACCTCGCTCATACCAGGTGGCACTCGAAGACGGACACTTGTGGTGCTGGCACATAGACCAGCTTAGGCGCAGGGTTGGGGACTTGGACACTACCATGGTGCCCCCAACTGCGCTTGTGGCTCCGGAACAGACACTTACAGATGGTGAGGCTCCACCTACACCTCTCTCGCAAACTGCCGGCGTGGAGCCGAACCAAGCCATTTCAGAGCGTCTGCCAGACTTACCACAGACTCAGAGCACTGCCGTTCCTGACATTCCGCCAACTCCACTTGTGGAGGTTCCACCCACAGCAGCGGATCCAGGGGACTTGGTTTCAACGCCACCTAGGGTCGCACCACAGCCTCAGCAAGAATTGGGTGGGTGGGCCGCCCCCCCGGACTTGGTTACCAGTCCGCGGCGGTCTGGCAGAGTTTCCAAGTGCCCAACTTATTTAAAGGACTATGTTGTTGGACATGTATCACTGTTGGTCTAAGTATGTGAAATGTAACCAATATGCTTTTGTGCCTAATTGAACCATTACGTGTAGTGCTGTATATAAGGAAACCATTACGATTATAACTAACGCCTTATCTCGGTGGGGAGGGTGTTATGTACTGAAGTTCTCACCCTGGGCCAGCAGGGGATACTGTAGATAGTTATGCAAATGAAGGATCGAAAGTGACGTTTGTTGGCTTTTTGCAGTATAGTAACGCTGCAGAGAGCTTGCTGGGGAGACCATGCATTAAAAAGGGACTCAAAAATAACTTAAACAAGGTTTTAATTACAAAAACAAAAATTCCTTATACACTAAATACATCAACAACAAACCAGACCCAACCACCAACCCATCCCCCAGGGTAATGGGAGAGCTAGGTGCTGCTCCTTATATACTACACCCAATTGCCAACACAGCTTAATCAATACAACTCAGCAGCACTTGCTATGTTTCACAGCTGTAAAGCTGGGTCTCATTATCTTGCTCTGGCCCTTGCTCTGGCCCCTTAAAGACATACACATTGGGTGGAACAGTGATGAACCTTTACATTTAAAGAAACCATTCAACAACGTTCAGTGATTGGATAGTTTTAGAAAGTTGCTACAGTTACGTTGTTCTGGAGCTCTATATAAGTAGGCTGACTGAGCTCTTCAGCTCAGTTCTGTTCTGGCCTCTGAATAAACAAGAGCTGTTTGAAGAATCGCTGTGTCTTCTGATATGTTCGCCCATGATACGGCGGGGGGGGGGGCATGCCTTCTTCACCTTCTTCTTCGCTACAATATACCCATTTATTTCCAAGTCCAATTGTCAATGTCAAAAGGGACTAAAATCTTTAAAATTCATAGAAAATCAACGTGCCAATTTGCTCAATTTCTCTAGGACTCCATGACACCTCCCCTGTCCTCCATAATCCCTCAAGCGAGGTGTCACGTACTCTCAGGAAGACCCTAATCCTCTCAAATCACTCTGCCAAGCCTTTCCTCCGGGCAATGCCAGGTGGCAGACTATGCATACATGGACCATTGTCTTCTCATCACCGGTACTCAGGATGTGCTTATCTGCGCATATCTCCAGCTCTGCATATTCCACCCTCCCTCCTCCACATGTTAATCCTGTGTAACCCAACCTCTTCTTAATGTATTCATGATGTAATCGGTGTAACCCAACCTCTTCTTAATGTATTCATGATGTAACTGTGATGTATTTTGCACTGTATTCTGGGACATGGAGGGAAGTTTTAAAAGTTCATGTCACCCCTTTCTCGCTGTTCAATCTCGCCTTGAACCTGTTGCGCAATAAACTTGGATCTTCTGCAGCTTGCTCCTGTCTCCGGCTGAGCTCATTTTCCTCCGCAGGGACCCGCGGACTTAGTCCGACAAGCTGGGTGGCAGAGCAGCCTTGCACCCAGATTTTACCGTAACAGCCCACAACTCAACAGTATTCTCCTGTTAATTATTTGCATTTTGTATTTGACTACGTGTGGGGTTTTTTTTTGGGGGGGGTATTGAGTTGCTTTTTATTTTTATTAGGTATTATGTGGTATTATATCTTAATTTTATTCTGTGAACTGCCCTGAGACCCCCAATTATAAAGCGGTATATTAAATAAGTAAGTAAGTAAGTGACGCGGGTGGCGCTGTGGGTTAAACCACAGAGCCTAGGACTTGCTGATCAAAAGGTCAGTGGTTCGAATCCCTGCAACAGGATGAGCTTCCGTTGCTCGGTCCCTGCTCTTGCCAACCTAGCAGTTCGAAAGCACGTCAAAGTACAAGTAGATAAATAGGTACCGCTCTGGCAGGAAAGTAAACGGTGTTTCCGTGCGCTGCTCTGGTTCGCCAGAAGCGGCTTAGTCATGCTGGCCACATGACCCGGAAGCTGTATGCCGGCTCCCTTGGCCAATAAAGCGAAATGAGCGCCGCAACCCCAGAGTCGGCCGCAACTTTACCTAATGGTCAGGGGTCCCTTTAAGTAAGTAAATAAGTAAGTAAGTAAATGGCTTAGTCATCCTCTATGGTGTAAAGGAGAAGGGAATGGACAGGTTGGCCAATTATTATTGTGAAAGGTGCCCTTCCTTCAGGTAACCGCAAGGGTCCAGCAATGTGATGGGAACAGGTGAGGGGTGAGTTATTTATCTGAGTGATACATCCCCCTGGCACTGCCTATCCTCCTCATAAACTTTTTGTTTCATCCAACCTATCTCCTTGTGAAACATGAATGCAGCAGATCTGAATGTTTGCGATCTGTAATTGGGATCTAACTTCTGTGGAAACTGCTATGACTACCAGATTTCAGCAATATCTTCCCACAAGCATGAGATTTTGGCAACGTTCTCTTCTATGTCAGCCGAAGTCAAAACGTCCCAAAGATATTAAAATGATGGGAAGCATGGGTGCAGCCAAAATTTATTTTAGGGGGGCCTATGAAGTTGTGCCTCCGTTAGATGCTCTTCTGAATGAACTTTCCTTTCACTTGTGGACCATGGTATTTATTCTCCCTCTACACAGGATTTGGCCTGTCACAAACTGATTGTATCTGCCTCCCGTTCGTTTGTCCTGCTGTCTTCACTGACATTGGGAGCTGTCCACCACTGTATAATTGTTGCAGAAGGGAACTTCAGCTTAGCAAAGGAGAATCAAACAAGTGTCCAGAGGAAAGTATCATTTCTCCTCCCCACGCCCTGCCCCTCTTGTAGCATTTTTGGATTGATCATTTTGAGGAGCCTCTGATCTGAGTAGCTCTAGGCTACCACCCTAAATGGACATCCCTTCTCGGATTTAGGCAAAGGAGGCAGTGAACTGAGAAAATATTTCCATTAAGTAAAACTTGGAAAACTTTTATGATGCCTGCTAACATGAACAATAGGTTTCTTTACAAGTTGATGACCATTTATTTGATTCCAGTTTAACCTCCTTTAATATAGCATTTGTCTGCTATATCCATTTGAGTTTTCCATTGAAACTTTATTATTTCATCCATTATGTAAAAACTGCATCGATACAAACTCATCTCTTCTCCGTCCCTCTTCCCTCCCTTCTGTGTCTTAGAGCCATTCTGTTCCTTCAGAAACAGAATTAACCAAAACAAAACTCATTATAGTCATTATGTAGGTTGATTATACAGCCTGCAAGATTTACAGTTGTCTTAATTAGGTTTTTCATTAATTAAACAACCACTGGCAGTACAACGTATCTCTAATGCAACCTTTTTATTACACAGAATGTCATTTTCATACAGCAGTGAGTACCAGCTACCTGTTCCATTAGTTACACAAAGCATCAATTACTTAAGTGGTCCCTGAATACATCGCCCTTTGATTGCAAGCTTAATTGGTTGCACAGCCAGTTGTTTTCATGCCTTGTCAATTGCAAAAAAGAAACCTATGGCAGAATCAGCCGAGGCGGCACTTCCCGTTTTGCCCCAAATGGCAGCGATCTTTTCCAAAATCAGTGCTGATGATGTTGATGCTTCTCTTCCACTGGCAGAAGCAGCAGGGCAGGAGGGGCACCCATGGGCATTGTGCCTGGTTGGGGGCTTCTGCCACCTGGAGCAGCGTCCTCACCTGCCTCAAGGCTCTGGGATCAGCCCTGTCTTTGGTTGCTTTGCTCTGTGAGGTTTTGCCAATTCCTCTTGGTCAAATCGTTCAATCGCATGGTATTTGATTGTTTAGATTAATATGCAGTTTCATCTATTGTTTATCTCAGTGGAAAGGGATCACCATAACTATCCATCCTAAAACTTCAATAGCTGCTGGGCATTTGCTCACTGTGATCTTCTCCCCTCCATCTTGTTTGAATACCTGAGGATTAAAAGGTACATGTAAAAGACCCCTGACAGCTAAGTCCACTTAAAAAAGGGAAAAGGATGATGATGATGATGATTGGAAGAATGAGAAAAAGGACAAGAGAGCATGTGAAGATTGCCCTTCCTTCAAGTAAGCAAAGAGTCCATCATTACACCTTTGAAATCTCCTTGCCCTGCATGTTCCACTCAACCTCTTCAATCAGTGGACTTGAATCTCTTTTTTTTGGAAGAAATGTTTGAAGCTATTACTACTACCAGTGCTATTTCCTTGGGGGATGCAGGGGTAACGCATACCCCTAAACATTTTGTGAATCTAAGTTTTGCCAGATTGAGGAGCAGTATTTCAATATGAGTAGGAAAATGAGAGTACCCCTAAACATTTTTTAGGGGGGGAAAGCACAAGCTACTACTAAGAATAATCATTGTAGGAGGCGAGCATGTGAAAACTGCCCTTCCTTCATGTAACCGCAAGGGTCCAGCAATGTGATGGGGACAGGTGAGGGTGAATCATTTACCTGAGGGATACATCCCCTAGCACTGCCTATATGGGGCATTGCATCCTCCTCATAAATGTTTCATTTGATTCAAGCTATCTCGCTCTGAAACATGAATACAGCACATCTGAATGTTTGTGATCTTACTTCTGTGGAAACTGCTATGATTGACAGAATGCAGGAATGTCTTTGCAGAGGCACGTGATTTTGGCAACGTTCTCGTCCACGTCAGCCTAAGTCACAACGTCCCAAAGAAATTAAAATTATGCAATCTACTTCTCCCTCCCAGCCCTCTCTTGGCAAGGTTTGGGGCTCCATTTTGCTTAATAGCTGGCTTTGCCTGGCTTTGCCACCACAATTCATCCTGAGCCATGAAGATCCTTCACCTGTGCTTGGCAGTTCTCTGTTTGCTGCTCCTGGCTTCCCCAGGTAAGGGATGGAGAGGAAGAAGGCAGAGGGACACATGCCAGCCATTTTTGGGGTGGAAGAGGGAGAGGAGTACAGTTGCTGTTCTGTGGCCTTGCAAAGGAAGCTCACTTTTCTTTCTAGAGACGTTTCTTTAGTGGTAATCTCTTTAGTGGGAATTCTTTGCATAAAAATGTATATATCTGACAAAATTGCCTACGAAAGTGTGTCTACTAGGGAAAATATGCACTGTGTTGCTGAATTTCCCCCCATTATGCCCATAATTGCTATGCAATTTCCCTATTATAACCTATATTTTCATGCTATTGTCATGAAATTACACTTTTCAGGTATATTTTTAAACACATTACTTGGAGGGAGAGCTGACTTTTACAGGACAACTGTGCTTTGATGTTCACATGTTGACTTCATTATGGCACACTAATATAAGGAAAAAAGGACGTGGGTGGCCCTGTGGTTTAAACCACTGAGCCTCTTGGGCTTGGCGATCAGAAGGTTGGCGGTTTGAATCCCCACGACGGGGTGAGCTCCCATTGCTCGGTCGCAGCTCCTGCCAACCTAGCAATTCGAAAGCACATCAAAGTGCAAGTAGATAAGTAGGTACCGCTCTGGCGGGAAGGTAAACAGCTTAGTCATGCTGGCCACATGACCCGGAAGCTGTCTCTGGTCAAATGCCGGCTCCCTCAGCCTGTAAAGCGGGATGAGCGCACAACCCCAGAGTTGTCTGCAGCTGGACTTAACTGTCAAAACAGTCCTTTACCTTTTTATTAATATATGGAAAATGGCATCGCATGTAAAACTGGTAAGGAAAAACAAAAGTAGCCTCTTCTTTGCTCAGTTTGGTTAGATTTTATGGAATTCTATGCAAATTTATGGCATATGTTTTAGAAAATAAAATTTTGATTTGTCTCTTCCACAGGTCTGCCAATAAATTTGGGGTATAAAGTTTCTAATTAGTTGGAAATGTTTCTTGATGTAGTATACAGCCTTTTATTCTGGGTAGTCCTAGGGGCTCTGATGGCTTCAGTTACAGGCTTTAGTTTCTCTATAACTAGTAAGCCATGTGTGCCTCACTTCTTGCTGTCGTGTTTCGTAGACTGACACCCTCCACTCATGAGCAAATATCTGGATAAGCAGATTGACCATTTCTTCTTGTGAATGTAGCAAGGGTGGTAAACACCAGTGGCCAGTGGCAAGGGGTGGGGTGGGGTGGGGTGGGGGGTAGGAGTTGGGATCCCACAGCACCCAGAGCGTCACAGAACCACTCCTGTTCAAAGGGCTGTGGAGTTGTTCCTCTCTTTCATCCTATTGTGAATTAACTTCCTTCTCCCCACTTATGTTTGTTTCTCTCTTTGCACAGGATCTGCACAGGCCACAAAGGCTAGGCAATGCCTTAACACCAAAGGTGGTAATTGCTACCCTATGCGTTGTCCCGATACTCATAAAAAGATTGGAGAGTGTTTTCCTAGTTTTCCCTGTTGCAAAAGGTAATTTCAACTTACCAAAAGAGAATTACACCTCCTGCCCTTCTGCCATTACCCTCTGGATTGATCATTTTAAGTACCCAAGGCAGCGTCCCCTAAACTGATCATCCTTTGCCTGCAAGCTCAATTGCTCCATTGCAAAATAAAATAAAAATACCTATGCCAGAATCAGCCAAGGGTGGCACATCCCATTTTTCCACTTGATGCAAAATGGTAATTGCTGCTTTGCCATTCTGCCGGCACGGCTCCTAAGCCCATCTACCTGCTCCTCCTTCCATGGACTGATCTGCCGCTGACACACACCATACCCTGTTGGTTGCAGGCACAGAAGTGGCACTACCATTGTTGCCCATTTTAAGCAAGATGTGCCAAGTTCTTTCGCCACAGGCAGAACCACCAGGGCAGGAGGGGCACCAGTGGGTTTTTTGTCTGAGGGGCTTCTGCCACCAGAAGCAGGGTCCTTACCTACCTCATAGCTGGGCCAGCTGTCTTTGGCCCCTTTGCCCTGTGAGCTTATGCCAGTTTGCCTTTGCCAAATCCCTAAACCACACCGTATGGGCACATTTAATTTGTTGTGCAGCTTCATCCATTGTTTATCTCAGTGCCTAAGGGATGTCTATTCTGCAGCTTTAACAGATGCTGGGCACTTATTCTGTGTGGTGTCCTGCCCTCCACCGTTTAAGATTACCTCAGTTTCACATCCCATACATTCCATGCAAATCTCCCACTTTCAATTCCAAGCAGATTCATTATTATTTTATCTTTTAAAGAAAGAAGCTGAGGCAGTATACTTTTGTCTTGGGTCCTGGCAGAGAAATTAGCAACTGGACGGAATGAACCCCAGGGTGCCAGTTCTCCCATGTTTCTCAAAACATTGTCACAAAAATTAGAGCAAGCTTCATGTTTCCCCAGAACTCTTCCTCAGGGCAACAAAGACAACAAATCCCTGCATTGCATAACATCCAGTCTGCAGGAGAATATTGGAGACCTTGCAAGCTCACTCACTATTCCGTGACATATTTAATTGTACCTAGAAAAGAAAGTCCCTCAGGGGGTAAGGATGGGCAAGAGATTGGATTCAATTCTCATTGAAAGGTGAATCTATGTAATTCATAGTTTCTGGAAATGAAAAACTGAAACAGACCTATCCCTACCCAATGGTTTATTATCATGAAATCTTTCTTGTGGTCCAACATGCCTTGCTTTGTATTTTCGTGTCTCAAACATGGTCACTTTGCTATGAAACTCAGTTAACTCTTGTCTTTTTGTTTCTGGTTTCTGTGTTTTAGACGGGAGGAGTGATAGATGCCTTTGAAAAGTGGAAGGTGCTCCCTCTCTTTGAGAGCCACTGGATCCCGCTTGATCCCCAGCTAGGGACTTCATCTCCAAAGCATCCGGATTGAAAAAAGCAACATTTTCAAGGCTCACGTGAGCTTGAGCCTTACAATAAAAGCAGATCCAAAAGCCTTTTCCCCTCTGTTTTTCATTTCTAAGCATGAGTGTTCTTGCTAGTGAAGCCAAAATGGCACCTTACATCCATGAGACGGAGGTTTCAGCAGGCATGGCTTGTGGAGAGGCCCAAAACAGCATTAGAAAGGAAGACTAAGAGGGGGTGAGGATCCCTCAAAATAGTCTAGTGAGGAGGACTGGGCCACAATGTGGAAAATGAAGAGTGACAAAATATGGAGGGTGGTACAAGAGGGAGAAGAAATTCTGTTCAGTTTCCCTTTAAATAGTAATCACACTGAGTTGCGCTCTTTGAAAGAGTATGCCAATTGAAATATAGTCATCCTTCAAAATCCACAAGTGTCTGAATTTTGGGATTATTGAAGTGACCAGACCAGGTCTGGAAGCGTCCTCTTATAGATTCTTGCCCCCTTCCCCCCACAGGATCGCAGGTTGGGAAGTTTCACCGTCTATTGATCCCTGTGCCACCAGTTTATTTCTCGCTGCCCCCACACAGGTCCTACCTGGTAAAATACTGAGTCCAGTCAGGGTTAAGTTGGAACATAAACTTCTGTTTATTTATTGCAGTTTAACAAGCGCGTGGTTTCATAAACGGTCTCAGTGAATTACAATCATGGGGTGCCTATCCAGACCTATAATTTCTGCTACCTGCTCTTACTCACTAAACCACCTCTCAGATATTTACTTGTCTTCCTGGCTCCTAACTGTTTCTGACTCAGCTTCTTTTGCTACACTAATTCAACCTACCCGCAGACTCTATCCCAATTCACTCCCACTCCAACCAACCACCCCAGTCCCAACGAACTCCTCCCTTGAGAGCGGTAGTCTTGTAATCTGGGGAACCGGGTTCACGTCTCCGCTCCTCCACATGCAGCTGCTGGGTGACCTTGGGCCAGTCACACTTCCTTGAAGTCTCTCAGCCCCACTCACCTCACAGAGTGTTTGTTGTGGGGGAGGAAGGGAAAGGAGAATGTTAGCCGCTTTGAGACTCCTTAAAGGGAGTGAAAGGCGGGATATCAAATCCAAACTCTTCTTCTTCTTCGCCCCTCCCAGAGCTGGTTTTATAGTCCCTCTGACTCCACCTCCTGGGTTCTGATTGGGTAACATGTTTAACTATTTCACCTCCAGCACTCTCATATGTTAACGTCACAGGAAATAGCCCAGGCTTTTGCAGAAATTAGCTCCACCAAGCCCACTCATTATAGTATATTAGGCACAATTGCATGCACATGTGCCTACCAGGAAGAATTCTTCATCCTAGGATCCCATGGCGCCCAGTCTGGTGAGATAAGAGAATGCAAATAATAACAATAACAATAACAATAACAATAACAATAACAATAATTTATTATTTATCCCCCACCCCACTGGCTGGGTTCCCCCAGCCACTCTGGGCGGCTTCCAACAGAATATTAAAATGCAATAACCTATTAAACACTTCCCTAAACAAGGCTGCCTTCAGAGGTCTTCTAAAAGTTTGGTAGTTGTTTTTCTCTTTGACATCTGGTGGGAGGGCATTCCACAGGGCAGGTGCCACTACCGAGAAGGCCCTCCGCCTGTTTCCCTGTAACTTGGCTTCTCGCAGTGAGGGAACCGCCAGAAGGCCCTCGGCGCTGGACCTCAGTGTCCGGGCAGAACGATGGGGGTGGAGACGCTCCTTTAGGTATACTGGACCAAGGCTGTTTAGGGCTTTAAAGGTCAACACCAACACTTTGAATTGTGCTTGGAAATGTACTGGGAGCCAGTGTAGGTCTTTCAAGACCAGTGTTAAATGGTTTTGGCAGCTGCTCCCAGTCACCAGTCTAGCTGCTGCATTCTGGATTAGTTGTAGTTTCCAGATCACCTTAAAAGGTAGCCCCACACAGAACGCATTGCAGTAGTCCAAGTGAGAGATCAGTAGAGCATGCACCACTCTGGTGAGACAGTCTATGGCCAGCTAGGGTCTCAGCCTGCATACCAGATGGAGCTGGTAAACAGCTGCCCTGGACACAGAATTGACCTGCTCCTCCATGGACAGCTGTGAGTCCAGAATGACTCCCACGCTGCACACCTGGTCCTTCAGGGCACGGTTCCCCCATTCAGGACCAGGGAGTCTTCCACACCTGCCCGTCTTCTGTCCCTCCCAAAACAGTACTTCTGTCTTGTCAGGATTCAACCTCAATCTGTTAGCCGCCATCCATCCTCCAACCGCCTCCAGACACTCACACAGGACCTTCACCGCCTTCACTGGTTCTGATTTGAAAGAGAGTTAGAGCTGGGTAGCATCCGCATACTGATGAACACCCAGCCCAAACCCCCTGATGATCTCTCCCAGTGGTTTCATGTAGATGTTGAAAAGCATGGGGGAGAGGACAGAACCCTGAGACACCCCACAAGTGAGAGCCCAGGGTTCTGAACACTCATCCCCCACCACCACTTTCTGAACATGGCCCAGGAGGACGGAGCAGAACCACTGTATAACAGTGCTCCCAGATCCCAGCCCCTTGAGATGGTCCAGATGTATGTTATGGTCGATGGTGTCAAAAGCCACTGAGAGATCCAGAAGAACTAGGAAACAGCTCTCACCTTTGTCCCTAGCCCGCCGGAGATCACAGACCTGTGCGACCAAGGCCGTTTCAGTCCCATGATGAGGCCTGAATCCTGACTGGAATGGATCCAAATGGTCTGCTTCTTCCAGGCGTGCCTGGAGTTGTTCAGCAACCACTCGCTCAATCACCTTGCCCAAGAATGGAAGATTTCAGACTGGATGATAGTTGGCCATATTGGCAGCATCTAAAGATGGTTTTTTAAGAATCGGATTCCTAACCGCCTCTTTCAGCGGGTCTGGGAAGGCTCCCTCACAGAGAGAAGCATTCACCACCCCACGAAGTCCATCACCCAGCCCTTCCCGGCTAGCTTTTATAAGCCAGGATGGCCAAGGATCAATGAGACAGGTGGTTGGTTTCACTCGTCCAAGCAGCCTGTCCACATCCTCAGAGGTAACAAATTGGAATTGATCCCACGCAACTTGACTAGACAGGACTCTAGCACTCTCCTGCCCTGGCCCTGCTCCCACGGTGGAGTCTACCTCTTCTTGAATCTGAGTGACTTTATCTGCAAAAAACTTTGCAAAATCATTGCAGGAGATCATGTGGCCCGTACTGGGCCCTGATGTAGCAGGTGGTTCTGCTGAATTGCAAACCACATGAAAGAGTTTCCTGCTGCTGTTTTCTGCACATACAATAGAGGCGGTGAAGAAAGTCCTATTTGCCATCGCTACCGCCACTTGGTAGGCTCGACATTGAGCTCTAACCCGTGTCCAGTCAGCTTCCGAATGAGTTATCCACCACTGGCGCTCTAGCCATCTCAGCGATTGTTTCATTGCCCTCAGATCTGTGGAAAACCATGCAATCGGAGAGGGCGCTTCGGAGCCAAACAGTCAACAGCCCTGGTTAAGGCCACATTCCAGCGTGCCACCAGGAAATCAGCTGAAAGGCCATCAACATGAGATAAAGCATCCCCTGCCACTCTTTGGAAACCATTTGGATCCATTAAGTGGCGGGGGCAGACCATCCAACAAAATGGCTGGGGCAGGTTCCACGGGGGTGTGTGTGCCCTGGGAGAACCAATCTCAGTGATTAGGGGTAGGAGGAGGAGTTACGCTAAGACCAGACTATCTCATTACCGAAGAGGCAGATTTAGTTGTTGCTTCAGGACTATCCCTGTCTCTGGGTCTGGTCCACAGATCTGAGGGCAGATGTTTTCAACATCTACATGCAGCAGCTGGGAGAGATCATCAGGGGGTTTGGGCTGGGTGTTCATCAGTACGCAGCTGACACCTCCTTCTCATGGACGTAAGGTGCCCTTTTGGCTTCACTAGCAAGAACACTCATGCTTAGAAATGAAAACAGAGGGAAAAGGCTTTTGAATCTGCTTTTATTGCAAAGCACAAGCTCATGTAAGCCTTGAAAATGTTGCTTTTTTTCAATCTGGATGCTTTGGAAGTCCCCAGCTGGGGATCAAGCGGGATCCAGTGGCTCTCAAAGAGAGGGAGCATCTTCCACTTTTCAAAGGCATCTATCACTCCTCCCGTCTAAAACACAGAAACCAGAAACAAAAAGACAACAGTTAACTCGGTTTCATAGCAAAGTGACCATGTTTGAGACATGAAAACAGAAAGCAAGGCATGTTGGACCACAAGAAAGATTTCATGATAATAAACCGTTGGGTAGGGATAGGTCTGTTTCAGTTTTTCATTTCCAGAAACTATGAATTACATAGATTCACCTTTCGATGAGAATTAAATGCAGTCTCTCAGGCACCCCTACCCCTGGGGGACTTTATTTTCTTTTTCTTTTTAAATGATATTTATTAAAGTTTCACAAAAATACAGAAAACAAAGAAAAAAGTATAGATTACAGCAAAAAAATAAAAAGTAAGAAAAAACATACAAAATAAAACAGTTAAAAACACAATGATGTTCCATAACCTATCTTCCTTACTCTTATTTCCCCAGACCTCCTCATACCTCCCTTCTTTGTATTCCAATTCAGTTTGTTGGTTCAGCAAATCCTTACCATTAATCTTTTACCCAATTGTTAACCTTTTTTTTCATGTCTCTTAAAGCATTACAGCTAAAAACCTCTTAATTTCTATCCAACATCCTTCTAAAGTTCCTTAATTTTACAATATTTCTGTAAATAGTCCTTAAATTTTTTCCAGTCTTCTTTCACCGACTCTTCTCCCTGGTCTCGGATTCTGCCAGTCATTTCCGCCAATTCCATGTAGTCAATCACCTTCATTTGCCATTCTTCCAAAGTGGGTAGATCTTGTGTCTTCCAATACTTTGCGATAAG